AGAAAAGAAAAGAAAAGAAAAGAAAAGAAAAGAAAAGAAAAGAAAAGAAAAGAAAAGAAAAGAAAAGAAAAGAAAAGAAAAGAAAAGAAAAGAAAAAAGAAAAGAAAAAAGAAAAGAAAAGAAAAGAAAAAGGAAGCAGACAGAGAGTGAAGTCAGCACTTGGGACATTGCAGCTAGAAAAGGTCAGGCTGCACTTTGAATGGCTTATCCCCCTGTTTAGGTTCATGGTAATGGGAGATCCTGCCCTTCTCTCTTTTATGCATTTTAGTGGTGGCTCTGTCCTTTGGGTGAATCAAATTGATTTAGTCCAGTCCCCTAGTTCAATTTCTAGGGTTTTTCAGCCAGGACTCCCTAATCTGTGAACAGGATTTCACTGTAGCTGGGCACTGCTGATCCTTCAATTTATGGCTTGGCATTAAACTGGGCTCCAGTGATGCAGGGCCACTTAGATTATGTGTCTGAAAGATCAGGCAACTGTATCTTGAGCAGTTGGAAGACAGAGGTATTCTGGTGGAATTGAGTCTCCCTCCCTGAAAAATAATCCTGTGACGCCCTGCCTCTGTGATCCAAAGGGCTGTGGTTTTGAGGGCAGGATGAAATCTCATTCAGGAGGAAAAAGAAATAAATTATCATGGAAAGATGGTTTGCAATTAAAAGAAGCATTTCTGCTGAAGTGCCTATTCCTCACTTGCACACAATGGAATTAACTGAGCAGCTGGAGTTGTTTCAGACACGAAGTCTGTTTTTCCATTTTGGAGGGCAGGAACTTCTGCAAAAATTCCCACAGGTTTGGGGTTTTTTTTTCCCATTCCTGGGGGAGAGGCACACAATACAAAACCACCTAATTATAGAAACACTGTGTGGAAATAGAAATCTCAAATCCAGTATTATGTCACGGCCTTAAATCAGGGCTTATCACTTCCAGGCATAAAGGGATGCTGCAGCCATCACTTAGACATACTGAACTTCTCCTGGTTGGTGCTGGAAGCAGGGTGGGCAGGTCTGAGCTGCGATAAAGGAATTTGTCCCCTTCCTGTCTGAGAGCAGAGCATGTCTCCTGAGCATTCATTTTAAGGGCAACCAGGACTGCACAAGCTCAGCCTTTGGCAGGGAACGACCTGACAGTCCTTCCATAGAGCGTTTTATCTGTGACCTCAGAGCACTGTGTAAAACACACCAGCCAAATATGGGTTGTAAACTTTTCAGTCCTAAATATCTGAGATAATCTGGGGGCTGCACAGCAGTTTGCCAGAGGAATATCTTCTGCAGTATGCAACAGTATGTGTGAGATGTATGCCCTAAGGTACAGCAAGAAAACACGTGGAGATGCTCAGGAGTGTAGTCAGCTGGGACGCTCTGCCTAGGAGCATGCACTCTGATAGCTGCTGCCATTTGGGCATGGCTCCTAAGCTGAACCTACTTCCAGAAGGTGTCCAGGGACATCCTGGAGACAATCCAAGACAAAACCTGGAAACAACTTCAGGGGCCTGGGCAATGAGGCCCCTTCCTACGCAGCCCAGCAGAGCTGCCCACCCACACCAGCCTGCCTTGCCCTAGAGCTGACCCTCAGCACAGCTGAGCCTGGGCAACATCCCCTCCTCATGGGTAGTTTCCTAGGCCCTGTATTGTTTCAGAGAAACACATATTTGGCAGCTCATGTTTTCCGACACATCAGCCAGCAAGGATGGAAATAGCATTTTTTTCCAAAGAGTCTTTCTCCACTATGTCATGAGGTAAATATCCAGGGTGTGTTTCCTCATCCTTAATATAAAAGGCTACTGCATACAGAGATGGTAGGAGGGTTTAGCAACAGACCTCAAGGGTCCTCTATGTTGGGATGAGAGAGGCAAACCAGCCACAGGGTCATTGCACACCCTGTACCCAGCGTGCAAAGAGCCCAGAACTCACCTGAGCGCCAGGGTCAGCTCAGGCAGAGCTGCACAAACATGAGGAAACACACATCCCCACCCCTGCACCTCACTGCTCTGCCTATAAAATCAAGGGAGGGCTTCAGGAAGGAGGGCTCTGTGCTGCACAAAGCCCCTCGCAGCACGGGAGATGAGCACGCCCAGAGCCCCCAGCCCCCTTGGCAGCGGAGCAGGGGGCAGGTTGTGCCTCGTGCCCCTTTCCCATGCCCTGTCAACCGGCCACCACTGCACTGGCTTCTGGAGGGCAATCAATAAGCAAAGAGACAGGCACTGCTGTTAAATTATCCCACCGGCCTCCTGGTGATCTAATAGACTCTCCAGTAAGGTCTTATTAAATTCCAAGTCAAACTGCATCCAGTTACAGTAATTACTGAATATTTAAGAAACAGCAATTGGCTATTTAGAGCCCACTAACATCTAATGGAGAATTTCATGCTCTTTAATTACTGTGCAATACCTATCCTTTTGGTGACACCCTCCAACCTGGATTTATGTGTTAATTTGCATCTGTTCTTTTATATTCCAGCATTTTAGAAAAGCAGAGAGATTAAAAATAATAATAAAAAAAAAGGAGAGCATTTCTCCTGTTGAGGGTTGGGACTGCAGGTAGAGAAAAGGCTAATAGGAGCAGGTGCTGTGCCAGATTTCCCCATCCCTATGTGGAAAGTCCAAATGCTGCAGTCCGTCACTGCAACTGCCCACATCATGACAGCTCCAAAACCAGCCCCATCCCTCTGCATGATCAGCCCTGACCTCCACAAACCCCATCACTCCCACCCTCGGGCTTTAACGCTTGGGAAAAAAAAAAAAAGCTAAGCCAAGCAAATCATGCCTTCACTGACCAATGTGCATCCTCAGGAACTAGGGCAACACCTGCCTGGAGCTCATTTCCCTGCACGCAGCAAGAGCCGCAGCCAAATCCGAATCCGGGGCCCCTGTGCTAGCCGAGAGCTGTAACCCCAGCTGTGCTCTCCAACTCACTCCCTGTCTTATTAGCACTAAACAGCATCCTTATTTAACACACTTCAATTTAGAGTGGAATGGATATTTCTTACTTCAGAAAGTCTCACCTGCCTCTCAAATGGCTCTTGGCATGCTGCCCGTTCTCACTCACGCTTTGCCTTTAACAAGGCAAAGCCTCATTCCTCTCGAATGGAGAAGAGCTGGCAGGGCTTGATTGAAAGTTTGGAGTCCTTCTCCCTCCCCATCCACTTAGATGCCACAAGAGCCCCCAGATCTGTATAGCTTTCTTACTGCCAGGAAAGTAAAGCTTTTGCCAACACATCTCCCAGGTTCCTCATCACGGAAACTGAAGCTAAAACATCTAACAGAGGCACCGACAAAGACTGGCACAAAAGAGAAAGAGGGGGAAGATGAGCACTGTTTGCAGAGTTTGTCTGGCCTCCTGCTACCCCTGCGCCCATCTTTTCTTCCTTCACTGCTGTATCCTCAGAACATTCAAGCCCAAGGCAGAAATATCTAACAAGTCTTTTTTTTTTTCCCTTCCCATCCCCAGCCACACTCCTTCTACAGGTAGCTTGAAATGCAGAGATCCAAGAGAAAGGAGCATCGCTCACTGCTCCCACTTTCCTAACAAGACCTCATTACGGTGCAGGGAAAACTTGACCCCGTCAGAAGTGTCAAGCTGAGGCACCGTGTTTATTTCTCACACCGTCCCCTTCACCCGTAACTTGGCGGGTGCTGCGGGGAGGTTATTCTTTCTTCCTTTGATTGTCACGGGGAGTAAGCTTTTCTTTTTTTAACAAAGCTATTTTAAAACAGATGCTTAACTATCTGTGCTATTTTAAATGATGCATAGGGGAAAAAAAGCCCACAGCAGAGCCGCAGCTCAGCAAAATGACTGCACAAGACAAAGCCTTGTGTGCTCCTACCTGTGTGCAGAGGGATCTTGGCAAAAGAGATCCACAGGTGACTGTTTTGAAGAAAACGGCCCTGTTTGGACCAGAAGATGGTCATTCAGTAGGGAACAATCACAGACCTGCTAGAGGCTTCTTCAGTTTGCTTTTGCAGCCCAGTAAATACCCATGCTTGTCTCCAAACACTGTGAGCTACATACCTGCCAGGTGAGGAGCAGGATGGAGGAAGGCTCCTGGCTGCTGCATACTGTGAGAACCATGTTTCTGGCCATCCTGTGTGCTGGTGGTCACACTGTAAGAATTAGAATTAGAAACACACAGTGCAGGACATCCAAAAAACAGATTTCCATCTCCACCCCCAAAAGAAGAAGGGTAGGAGCCACCAGATATCAACAGTTCCAAGGATTCAGCTTGGATTTGCACTGCAATCCAGAGGCAGAGGAGTTTACTTGATGTGTATTTATTATTTTGGTACACAGCAGATTATAAATCTCTGAAGTTACAAAACCACAGTCAGTGTTTATCTGCAGTGTTTGATTATTACAAAGTTGTTCATGCTCAGAAAATATGTTTTCTGATAATCAGCTGGCATTTACTTTATAGACATCTGTGTTATTAAACACACAGAGAGAGGGGATTTAGGGATTGTGATAGCAAACGGCCCTTGTTTAGTATATAAAACATCATGTGCATTTTTCTAGCTGCTTCATCATGATGTGTTACTATGGGTCAACCTCCACCCAGACCAGAGAGATTCTGCATCTCCCAAAACTCCTTCCCCTCAAGCAGACAAGGCCATACTGCCTGCATGGTAAAGGCATCCCATACCTCCAGCTGCATCAGTGCTTCTGTCTGGCGCTGAATTATTTAGCTTCCCCTCACTGTGAATGGAAATGATCTGCAGTTTAAATAGAATGAAGAGAAGTTTGCATCAAAGGCACCTTAACTCAGTCAAACACACATTGGAGACTTCCTTGCCTGTGATTGTCAGGGGTAATAACCACAGCTCTGATCAAACAAAAGGCCCTTCAGACCCACTTAGTCCCTGGAATCGACAGGTTCACATCTCCTCTTCCAGCTGTCGGGGAAGAAAGTATTTAAAGAAGTTTAGTCAGAGGGAGTTGAGGACATTGAGCTGTGGCTGTAGAATGTGAACAACTTTCCCGTAGATTGGAGGCTGATGTAGTGCTGGCAGCCCTGGGCTTTCTCAACGCCCAAACGCTTTGTCGTGCAGGCTGGCAACACCCTCCATTTTCCTCCTGACCTGGCAGGAGAAGAGGGTCAGTGTTTAGCAGCACTCATGTTGGCTAATTCATATGGAAGTGTAGAGCTATTACACTGTCAGCTGTCACTGGCACATCAGACAAGGGCTTTGTCATTTCCTAAACCTCTTCTGCCCAAAACCTACCATCTCTGACCACTCCTCTCCTACACACCTGAGCCCACCAGCAGCTCTGCACTTTACCCATCACCAAATCCTCCCACTTGCCTCCCCATCCAGGGCTTCTTTCCCCACCTCCTCTGCGCTATCAACACCAGGACCACTGCAGATATCAGACCTTCTCAGATGGCAGTGCCTCTGTCCAGGTCAGAATGTGATGGGGAGTGCTGATTGAGTGTCCTCACTGGTATGATGGGAAAGATGGCATGGAGCTGGAGGCAAATCTGGGATCTCCTAATGGTCATTGCAGAGACTTGGCTGTGAAAAGCCTTTTGTAGTAGCAGAAATGTTGTGGCACTCAGTGGAGACTTTGAGGTTAAACTGAAATCTGTCAGCATTCAGAGAATGAGGGATTCTGCTGTCTACCCCTTCCCTGCTTCATTGCCCCCCAACCCTGTTCTCCCCACAGGAAAAACCCTCACCTTCCATGGTACCCTGTGAACTGCCCCCAGTTTGGGATGCCACCCTCAGGGGATGGCATTGGAGGGAAGTAGAGGGATGTTCTGACATCACACAGCCAAGCTCTGCCAGCACCAGCACCACACCACAGCTCAGGCTCTCCCCTCTTCACTGGCCCAGCCACTCCCCACCCCCAGTTGCTAGCATTAAAAGGATTACGGAACAAAAAGATGAGAGAGAAGGGATTACAGGGAATTATCAGCCTTGATCCCCTCCTAATTAATTACTGGTCAGACATATGAAAGGATGGCTCCAGAACACCCCACAACAGTGAAGAAGAAATGACATGTACAGCCAGGAAAGGCTTTGGCAAATGCCAACACTTATTTGCTGATGCAGTTCTCTTCCCAGAAAGGACTGCTTTAGAGAATGATACCTGGACATGGTGCTGCTATCATCTGTACAATTTGTGTTCCTCTTCACACTCACCTTTTTTCTCTTTCTAATGCTTGCACCCTCTTGGGTGATTTGCAGCCAAGTCAGCTCTGCCCCAAACCCCAGGGCTGGCTCCACAGGCCACCCTCCTCTCTCAGCCGGCTGGGAAAGTTGATGCTTACTTGGCTGACTGAAGGATGCCTGGTTTTCTTGCACGAGGCTGGGGTGACTAATCAAAAGGTATTTTTCTTAAAATTCTTATGGATTGAGGCAATCATCACAACAATCAGAGCAATCCCAAGATGAGGGGAAAGAGGAGGCATGTCATTTCAGCTCTGCTCTCTAGAGAAAGAGATAAGGGGACATCTATTTTTCTGTGTTTCCTCGCCTGAAAGGAAAGGCTGTTCTCATCCCTCCCAAACCACTGTTTACTGGGAACTGGCCAACTTCTATGCAATTTTTTAATTCTCAGGGTTACACCCCAAGTAAATAAGAACTAAACTAATGGCTAGTCTCTGCATATTGTGTTTTGCACCTTCTTCAGTACCCAGCCCCTGTAGTGACAAAGACACACTCTGTAATGATAGATTGGTTTTACCAGTCACAGTCATTTTTCCTGAGACCAGAGCTCGATCTAGTCCCATTGCTTTGCTGTTCCTACCTCCTTCCCTGACAGACCAGCTCTTCAGCAGAGTCATGGTGCCACCTGAGCAGAGTTGACCCTAAAGGATTCATTAATTCTGACTAGGCTCACGTGCTTCCTTACTGAACTCCACACCCTGAATAAGGATGCTCATGATTTTGGGGTGCCCAGCCTTCCTGAGACAGCCTCCATGCCCTGAGATCCCACAAGGACACCTTAAATCTTGGTGAAGCTCTTCAGTGGAGCACCAAGAGTCCCAACCCAAATCAGATGTTTCCTACACCATCAGCCTCTGTCTGCCAGCACCGTGGTCTTGCTTCTTCACCCAGCTGAGCACTGTCAGCCTGTTGGGTGATTTAGGTCTATCTTGGGAAGTGCAGGTTCTCTATTTGCAAACACCACACAGCTCAGCAGCCCTGGACTGGTCACTGCTCTGCCTGTAGGCTCAAAGAAGGTGTGTGGTCACAGCAGGCATCAAAGTTGAGGGTACTTGCAGGATGTGACTGAAGATCATCTCTTTTTGTGTCACACCTTTCCCATTCAGCTTCCCTCACTGCAGGATCATTCCCAACAGTCATAGCCAGAGTACTACATCAGGTTTCCTTTCATGAGCCACAAAGTCTTTAAGATGAGAATTCAGACAAGACTTTTGCACCAGCTCCAAGATCCCCCAGGTCTGTCCATGTTGCCTGTTTTTTTTTTCTCTCAACACTGTAGCACCTTCAAATCAATAAACCAAAGAAAGGCAAGGCAAGCTGCCACTAAACACCACCTGCTTAAAAAAGATCAGCTAAAATTATTTGCTGCTGCTCAACAAATTTCTGCCTGCTCAGTCCCCTGCTTGCTGTGCTGTAGATGACCAAGATGGAGCAGGATACAGAAACAGAGACCAGCCGGCATCCCCTTCCTCGCTGCGTGGGGCACTCGGCTCTGCTGCAGCTGCAATGTGCACCATATGTTCACGTAAGCGATGAAGCAGGGGTGACCACAGCCCTTTCCTTGCTTCAGGAGCTGAGAAACCCCAGTGGGGGAGCCTAGAGACCATCTTTCTGCATCCAGCTGAGAGTTTATCAAAGGGCATCCCTCCAGCTGCTGGGACAGGCAGGCAGCTTCCACACGTGAGTTCTGCTCTTGCCTGGGGGACAGAGGCTCTTCTCTGCTCTGCACAGGAAAGGTTAAGAGAAAGCAGGAGCTAGCAAAATTTCTGAGAAATACCAGCGTGCTGATTTTGACAAATGCACAAATTGGAGCTGATATGGAATGCAGATGTATGTAAACACTCATGAAATTATCCCATCCCTCCTGCATAATGTCTCCTCGCAGCCGCAAATGCTCTGAGCACTCTGGCAAGGCCAAGCCAGTTAGACCCATGCAAATCAGGGAAAAGACACTGTAAAGGTTCCAGGTAAGAGACTGGGAAAAGAATGAGAAAAGAAGACACCTTATCATTAAGTTAAACATGGTTCTGCCTGGCAACAGGACACCCTAACTGTGGCTTCCTGGAGCCACTGGTCCTAGAAGCCCCTCTGGCAGGGGCTGAGCTGAGCATCCTGCTGCCTCCTGAGTTTTTAAGGGACAGAGGTCACACAGAATCATGAGATACTATTGGGTTTCTCTAATAGGTAAGGGCAAAAAGGGGGAAGCAGAAGAGGAGGCAACTATGTGCACTGAAGCACCTCTGGCCTTCACATGCACACTCAGAGGTGCCTTTTACTAGAGGAGGGTTTACAGGAAAGACAGTGGGAGTTTTAGACCTTCTCTGCACCTTACCACCACTGGGTATTTGCCACTTCTGATCGTGTCACAGGTGTCCTTTGCTGTATACACAGAAGATAGGGGCCACTGTCCTTATTGAGCCTTGTCCTTATGGAGCTTTGCAGACTCCAGCTCCTAGCTCCTGGATGCCCTTCCCGCCTCAAAGACCTTCAGTTCTGGCAGTGCTGATGTCTTGCACATCTTTGGATCACAAGCCCACAGATATCAGTGGG